TGAGCCCAGGAGGTGGAGGCTGTAGTGTGTTATGACTGTGACACTGTACAGTCATATTGGAGCACAATATTGGAGCAATATTGAGACTGTCTCAAAAAAGAAAGAAAGGAAAGAAAGAAATAGAAATAGAAATAGAGAAGGAAGGGAAGGGAAGGAAGGAAAGAAGGAAAGGAAAGGAAAGGAAAGGAAAGGAAAAGAAAGGAAAGGAAAGGAAAGGAAAGGAGAGAGGGAGGGAAAGAGAGAGGGGAGGAAGGAGAGAGGAAGATAGGAAAGATACAGAGAAAGAAAGAAACAGAGAGAGAAGGAGGGAGGAGAGAAAAGAAAGGAAAAGAAAGAGAGAAAGAAAAGAGAGAAAAAAAGAAAAGAAAAGAAAGAAACCAGGGCAGAGGGAATTAAATACATTGCCCAAGAGTTGGTGGCTTATCAGAGACAAAACTTGCATTGCATCTCTGATCAATGTGAAGTCAAAGTCATTCTTTCTAACAATCCTGGGCACAAATCATTATCCAGCTCCTGCTCACTGAGATGGGGATGGAACAACTGCCATACACAGGCAGAATGGGCATGGAATGCAGGAGGGTTCCTGGTTTGCCCACATGCAGAGCTCACTAGCATGGAGGCATCATATTGCATTGCTCTTCTTTTAGCTACAATTTGGGTTTCACTTCTGCATCAAAAAGGTCCTTCTGGGGCTATAGACTTTCTGATGACTAGGAGGGGTTGGGTGTTGCTGCTCAGAGAGGCCCATGTCCTGCAGACTCTTGCTATGTCAACCTTTATTCAAGCTCTGAGCCTCTGTACTTCAAAGACCGAATTTGGCCATGGTTTTCAGAATCACAGATGGAAGCCAGTGTCTATCGGCAAAAAAAGTTGTGTACATGGAGCTCTGGGCTAAATTCCAGCTCTTACTCCATGCGCGCGCACACACACACATACCACAAGCACACACACACAGGAGCATTGAACAATATCCTATTGCAGACTTACTGGATAACCTGGAGGCATGACATTTATTTCTTCTCTCAGAAAATCAGGTTTTTATTAAGTAGCTTTTATGTGCCAGGATCATTTGTGATATATATATGTATTCTGAGTGAATAAATACATAAGTGGGCTAGTATGATAATCACATCACAATACCATGCTCATTAAAGCCTGGCATTTATCTTACAGCTACCCTCCCATCGTCCCAAGACTGCCACATGCCTAACTGTTCCATCATACGTATCTCCCTACCACCTTTCAGTGTCTCCTTTCTCCCACTTATTCCTTCCAGATTCATTGTGTTAAAGTTCAGTTTTGATCACATGATTCCCTTGCCCAAAAATACTTATTGACTTCCCTATTGCCTACTTGGTTATGTACCAAATATCTGACTTAACTCCTAAGTCCATCTATCTGGGAGATCTGTCCTTCAATTTTTACCTCTGAAAGCTCCACGAGGAGCTTACCTCCACGAGCTGTGTTTACCTTCATGAGGCTCTTCCTAAACCCCTAGTGAACAAGAAGCAACATGCACAGCATAGCTATCATGCTGGATCCAGCTAGCGGGCTCATCCTTCAGCTCTTCTGTTTACCAGCTGTGGGATCTTGGGCAAGTTGTCTATAACAGCATCAGTTTCAGAATGGCATTGTGAGTGAGATGCATTAAATCAGTGTGAAGCCCTCATAACACTGACTGGCACATGCTAAGTGCTCTGCAATCTCTTGTCTTTGCAACGAAGTCCCTGGGCACTCTGTTTATAATAGACTTATTTTTAGCTTTGTGCCTAACATTCTAGATAATTGCATATTTTAAAAAATCTTCTCAACTCTTGGAGGATGGGGACAGTGTCGTGTTAATCCTCTATAGTACTTACAACAGACATTAAACTAACACTAATGAATGTCTGTGAAATGGAATTACTTATCAAATGAACATCCAGAATGTGTATGTTCAGGTTTGTTGGGTTGTGCCAATAGCCCACTTGGACAAGTCAGTCTTCTTTGCTAGCTCGTTTATTCCACCCTTGATTGTAAATACTGTCCAAGAAGCCTATGTGACCTCCCATAGAAAATGAAGAATAAGTGGGAGAGGCCTGGTGTCTGAGGGTCCTAGAGCACTTATGCCAGACCAGTCTTCTGAGAGGCTGGAATTCATCCCCCAGGTGCAAACCTGATATCTGGGCTTGGAAATTTCCATAGCTGACTCAGGGTTTCATGGCCGCCTGTAAGTAGATCTGAGTTCCCCTTCCATTCTGAAAGTTTTCCCCCCAAATAGAGGAGTGAGGCAGCAGATTTCTGCCTTCTATAAGAATTCTAGAATACTACAAATTCGGCCGAGGCAGGCGGATCACGAGGTCTGAAGATGGAGACCATCCTGGCTAACATGGTGAAACCCCGTCTCTACTAAAAATACAAAAAATTAGCCAGGCATGGTGGCGGGCGCCTGTAAGTCCCAGCTACTCGGGAGGCTGAGGCAGGATAATTGGTTGAACCCGGGAGGCGGAGCTTGCAGTGAGCTGAGATGGCGCCACTGCACTCCAGCCTGGGCATCAGAGCAAGACTCCGTCTCAAAAAAAAAAAAAAAAAAAGACTACTTCAAATTCTTTCATAATTCCTCTTGTAGAAGATTTGGACATCACTTTCAAGTGGGATGGAAATCAGATGTCCATCATGGTTCTGAGCTTGACATGTGGCCAGGTGGACCACCAACCTTGTATTTCAATTCCAACTTCTTTGTGTGGCTCCCAGCAGGGCTGGTAACTCTCTAGAAATGACAGATACATTTTCCTCACTAGACTATTTAAGGTTTCCCTCAGTCCCTTACGGAATAGAAATAGAGTTGATGTCATAACCATCTCCTTTACTGTGAAGTTTATTGAAGTTATGCACAGTTACATCACCTGTGATGTAATCAATACCACTTGCCACATGGCATGTGTTGTCTTTTATTTTTAATTTTTATTTTTGACTTTTGTGAAGTGTAGATTAAAAGACACCTTCAGTTAGTTCAAATCAAAACCATGCCAGTCCCCATATCTCATGCATTCCAAATACCCACATGACTGCTGGTGGGCGTGTTGACTTGGACAGCTGTTTTGGAAATCAATGTGGTAATATTTGTCAAGACTCTTCAGGATCTCGATCACTTTATTTCAGTAATTTCACTTCTAAAAATTTACCCAGTGAAAAGAAGTAGAAATGTAGACAAAGACCTATATGTGTGTAGGTATGTATTTTGAAGATGATCTTTTTGGTAAGAGCACAAAGTGGAAACACCCTGTCTAACAATATTGTGTCATTAAAATGACAGTACATTGGAAGGCTGGGATATAATGCAGCCACTAAAAATGACATTTATAATGAATGTTTAATGATGAGGAGCAATATCATGATGTGACATTAAGCGAAAATGCAGAATTTAAAATGGTGTGTGGGTCTCAACTGTGATATTTTACACATGCATTTGATTAAAATGTATTTTTTTCATAAAAGAACAAGAATTCATATGTGATTGATCTAGGTCAATGGTTCTCAACTGGAGGCGATTTTGCCCCCCAGGGCAATGTCTGAGGACATTTTTGACTGTGATGCCTTAGAGGAGGGGAGGCTGCTGGTCTTGAATTGTAGAGGCTGGAGATGCTGTTAAACATCCTATGAATTGCAGGACAGCCCCCCCATGGCAGAGAATTTTCCAGCCCAGCATGCCAATGGTGCTGAGGTTAACAAACTGTGAGTCCTCACCTTCTTTCAGCCTCTTTCTAACATGGGTAAATTCCCTTATCTCTTCCTCCCTCTTTTCCTCTCTTTCTTGGTCTCTTCTCTTTCTAATATTTACTGAGGCCTTAGTATAGGCCAGGCACTGTCTTAAGCATTTTACCACATGTTAATATGTTGTGTAATATTGTATTGTGTAATGTTAATACACAACAACCTCATGACAATAACTGTTATTGTCATCCTAGGTGAGACAACCTTTCAAACTGTTTTGTGGTTTCAAAATAATTAATCAACAGTGCTTAGTAGTACAGTGTCTGATACACAGATAAATACATACATATATGTGCATGTGTATGTACACACATATGCACAAAGAGTGTATATGTTACCTATGTATATTATGGCAAGATTACAGAAATGACTAGTTTTGGATAATGGAAATGGAAAAAAGTTTGGTGTTTTTTCTTTATATTTTTCTATATTCACACATTTCTGTATCTCCACATTTTCTTCAACACTTATAATTTATTTTTGTTACTGAAACAACCTAATAGTATATTAGAGCCCCAGAGTGCGTAAGGGCTGTCTGTGAGAAGAACAGTCCCTGCTACATGAGAAAGTTTAAAGAAACTCTATTCTCAATAAGCCACTTACTTCACTAAAATAGAGCAATGGATCACTTTGCCAAAACAAAACTTCACTTCCTCCGATTCAATGCAGTCAGCATTGGGGCCACAGATCCTGCTTGTAGCGATCAATTTGCTTGCTATGTTTTGCTGAGGCTAACTCCCTTGGGGTTAATCATTTCCTATTGATCTCATTATGCAACAGAAATCTTTTTCATTTATCCTTTGAATGACCCTTCTCATTTCCTCTCAGTCAAATAACACTCTAGTAGGGCAGATGTAGGCTTTTCAACTTTGTTTACATATCAGATTTATCTGGGGAGCCCTTCAGAAATAAAAATGACCCATCCCTATCTTGAGAGATCATGATTTCACTTCTCTGGAGCTGAGCACTATATTCTTAAACTTCCCAGAGTTTTTCATGTGTAGCCGGGTTTGAGAATCACTGCCTGAGCTGTAGTCATGCTTACAATTTTTGAACTGGCCAAAAGAGGAGGGAATTAACCTTTCAGATGCAGCCTACATCAAGGAAGCTGCCTGCTGTTAGGGGAACAGGATACCTGCGGAGACTCAGGTCCTGACAAGCCTTTAGCTCCACCTCCCACCAAAGACCTGTGTGGTGTCAGTAGCAGCCCCATTCGCAGGTGAGGAGAGAACTTAGAGCCCTGACTGCTGGGACACTCTCCACCTAAAATACAACCCCTTGAGGTGCTGAGGAACATTCCAGAGGCTTCTTCCACTTGCCAGCCTTTCAGCTATTTACAGGTGGGCCTCACGTCCCTCCACAGTCTTCTCTGCCGCCTCCTCTCCTGCCCTCCCCCCAAGATAAACATTCCCAGTTTCTTCAACATCTCTCAGGGGATAAACGTGCTCCTCACACATTATGTTTCTCTTGGTTCCTGCTTTCTATCAAACAAGTTGTTTATAGCACCTGGCTGATCCTTGCCATATGTTACTGCTCATTTCTGGAGTCTGAATAGTCTGGCTAATTATCATTTCTCCCCTGGGCAGAACTTTCCAGAGCAGGTTATCTGCGACGGAAGCAGTGATGCAGCACCCACATGTCCCAGAGGAAGGGTTGTCAGCTGACAGCTCACAGCTGGATCACGCTGGGGGATTTTTTCTTTCCCCTGGGAGAAAATGTATCTACTGACTGATTGAGATGGGGAACAGAAGCCTGGCCCTTTGCGTAAGTATGAAAGGTCTTTGAAGGGCCTTGTCAACTTCTGCACTCCCCATGGAATCAGCTGAGATGTCTGTTTTAACTGTATGACAAGTTAACCTCGCCTTCTGCCCAATTCTGCTTCCTTTATCGCTTCGGTTGCTGATCCTGACAGTACACCACAGTAAACCTTCTGCATAGATATTTTCATCTCAGAGCCTGTTTCCCAGAGAGCCCAACCTAAAGACACCTGCTCGTAAATGCAAAATGAGCCTGTGAATTAACTGCCCTGAGTCAGATCGTTAGAACTCATGATTGGCCATAACTTTCTTTAGGATAAAACAGCCTAGGGATAAGGATAGAGCTGTTTCCTTTACAAAGGAATGATAGGAAGGCCTATCTCCATGACCATACCAGAACAAAATGCTTTTGAATTCCTTTGCCACCCTGGCTCCCTTCTCTGCTTCAGTTTTGGTGGTCTCAAAGGTCTTATATAGGACTAGAAACTTCAGACGGGATCTGGATAGTGGAGAATGGAGATGGAACCTCACACCATAAATAATTGCCACTAATTTATGTACGATTCTAGCTCCAATAGCTACAGTCCTGTGTTTATTAGCCTGAATATGACCTAAAGTTGTGTTGTAATCTTGGCTAGCCTTGTTTCTCTGACTGTATCTCCTGACATAATCCTGTGTTGCACCCATTGCTATAGCTTGTATACTCTATTTACTTTAGTATAGCCAGTATATGCTATAGCCATAGTATAGGTTGTCCTCTCTGTGACTGAAATTGCCACCTGGCTTGAACTTCTTTGTCTTTTCACCAGCTATTTCCCCTGCCCACTTCAGTCAGCCTGAACAACTTCTGTATTTCCTTGAAACCCCAACTCACTCATCATCTTCTTCTACATTCTTAGCACCTTTGCTGACCTCTTTAAGCTAGATGGATCATCTCCATTTGTGCTCTCACCCTAGTTGCCCTGGAGACCTCCATTACAGTACTTGCCATTTTTCTTTGCAGGACCATATCCTTCAGGGCACTGGTCACATTTCATCCACCTTTGTACCCCTAGCAGCTAGCACAGTGCCTGGGACATATGTAGTGGAATTAGAGTAAACTAAACTCAAATTTTATAGCTCTAATTTTGAGACTTTCAGTCTATTAGAGAAGTACCAGCTCTGCCAACCTACCACATTGCCTTGTGATACATTAGGCAACTTTGCAAGTAGTTTCAAAGTTTCCATTTGTGATCGACCTAACTAACTCCTCCCTAAACCCACAGGAGGGAAGTGAGAAATGGGCTTGATGTTTACAATGACAAAACTAGCCATGGAAATCACTTCTGTTTGTTTTGAGTCAGAAATATTTCAGCACAGAGCATTGGATTAAGGGGGATGCCTGAGGGAGGTGAAACATGTGATCATCTTGACTTTATGTTTGGGGCTACTCCTGAATCATGACTTAGGAAAGGGGAATTCAAGCAGAGCATAGCAGGTTTGCTTAGCTGGCGAGGCAGAAATTAGAGTTTAAAGTTTACAAAGTTTCAGGATAACAGAAAGAACAGAGCTGCAAAAAAGAGCAGCTCCAGAAATTTATGTATCAGTCCCCTTGAGACACCGGAAGGAATTAAAGTATGCATGTTTAGGGCAAAACTACCCAACCTTTGGCAAAAACCGCTTCTGGAGAGCTATGAGATGAGCAGAGATCACTGATGATACACAGTGCTGAGAAATACAGGTGTTCCAATCATCCAGAGCAGAGAGAAGACCTCAACTGAGACCCAGAAAGACCACATCTGAGAAGCAGTGTTCCTCTCATCCTAGAGTGAGAGTGCTCTAGAACTGCTCTAGCAAAGCTTAACAACAAACCTTAAAAGAATCAATCTAATCTTCCAGCGAATTAACTGTCTATGATAACAAAACTTAGCACTCTCTGAAGAAAAACCACAAAATGCAGACTCTCAATGTAGCATTACACTGTCTAGAATACAATAAAAATTTAAAGACAAACATAGAAGCAGGAAAATGCAATCTATGCAAACATAGCTGATGAAAACTGATCCTAAGATTACCCAGAGGTTGGGTCAAGAATTTTAAAGCAGCTTTATAAATATGTTCAAGTACATAAAGGAAAATGTAGTGATAATAATTAACAGATGTGGAATCTTAATAGAGAAATGTAAATTATAAAAAGGAACCAAATTAAAATTTTGGAACTATAAAGTACAATATCTGATGTAAAACATTAACTGATGGGCTTAACAATCAATTGGAGACAACATAAGAAAGGACTAATAAACTTTTATAAATTAATAGAAAATTTCCAGCAGAAAACAGCTGGCAGGAGTGTCAATATCTGGTAAAACTAATATTTATTTTAATATTAGTTTGCCTTAAAACATTTCTTTCTCTGTCTCTCTCTTTCTCTCTCTCTCTCTCTCTCTCTCTCTCTCCACTCATTTCTCTCTTTTTCTTTCTATTTCACAACGATAACTCCTATTTTAATTTAGCACCATAGGGTTGATTCTAGTTTTCTCTTTCCTATACTTGTCACTCCCTTCTCTGACAGTGCAAAACCTAGGTCCCATTTTCTTTAATACCATTACTTATTGGATCAATCCTCTACATATGTTTCAATCATGTATGTCCCACACCATCACCACCCTCTCTCTCGGGCAGGTACCCTCCTCACTCTGCTTAGGCTCTGAAAGCCCATGCCAAACCACTGCCTTCCGTGGACACTCTCCTTAACAGCCTCTAGCTTAGCTGCCTCATTGTGTTTCCCCTCCAACCTTGCAAGTGGAAGACTCAACATTATTAGACCACTTGGATTTACGAAACATGCCAGACTCACTTGTATTTCTGCCCATCCTCAAATTTTCATTCCCTTAGCATGGAATCACCTCTCTGACATGACCAATGGGCAAAGAGTCCTCTTTTTAAATTTGAGTTTAAGTATTTTCTAATCTCCAAAGTCTCTGTGCCAGGGATGGTTGCAATGCTCCTTTATCCTAGTCTTGATCTTCCATGCCCCTGCACTGCTCAGGTATTTCCAGACCCTTGTGTACCCTGGTGCACTCTGAATTCCTTGCAGGGAATCCAATGCTCTGTACTAAAATATTTCTGAATCAACATCTCACACATCAAAGATGCCTGATGGTGTGACCACTGAAACTTATGCCTGTTGCAGCAGCACCAGGGAGGTGAGAATGGCTGTGTATGGCAAACAATGTGTGAAGTTAATACACCAGCTTCAAGTGTGTTTTGGGGCACCCGCATATCTATCTCTCATGCCTTCAGCTCTACCATGATGGGTCAGATTCCGCCCCCTGCCGCTTCATTGCTGGAGGATCCTAAGAAATGCAAGATCATTTTACTCCTTAGTTGTTTTTCAGGCTTTGGACAAAGTCTGCTGCCCACAGTGCAGTTTTTGTCCTATCAAATAACTTGGGAATAGTTCTGTCTTCACAGTTAAATGAATATGAAGCTTTGAAATCCATAAAATAAATAGAATGGAAATTTAGCCCATCAGATTTGGCAGCTTCACAAAACTCACCTAAACCTTCTTGTGCCTCTTGGATTCCAGTTTCCAGCCTGAGGCGGGGAATGAGAGACATGCTGATGTACTTAATACTCATGAGAACCACTCCAAGGTTGGAAAGGGAACCCCAAGAGGAAAGTTTCATGAAGAAATAGGAGGTGAGAAGGGACTTCGTTCTGCCTCTGAACATAACACACAGGAGGAGGCTGGTTTTTAGTTTGGGGCTAGTTTGCATTTCTTCATGGCGCAAAGTAAAGAAAGAGGTTTTGGTTGCAGGATTCAGGATTCCCTGAAAGATAGGAGTGAAACACTCCCTCTCTCCACCATGCCGCCACCATCTCAGGGCAGCCGCCATCAGATCTCTCTGGGATCCTGAGGGGCCTCTCCATTTGGCCTGCCTGATTTGAATCTCTCTCCACTTTGATCAGGTAACTTGTCTCTTTCAGGTATCTGGGCTGCTGACGCAATAAAATGGAGACGCTGTGACCTGCTGTCAGGGCTTTCACAACTGGTCCCGCATGACCATCCTGCCTGACAACCTCCGCTTGGCTTCAGCCTTTCTTTTGCTGGATGATTTCAGCAAGTCAGACCCTCTGCCTGCATTTGCCTTCTCGTTTATAAACCAAAGACAGGATTATTGTGAGAATCAAAGAAAATAATGGATATAAGCATTTGTTGATTGTCAAGTGTTAAAAAAGTTGTTATTGTTGTTATTACAAGAACTCAAGGAGACATGTTAAAATGAGTTTCTCAGTGGTTTGGATAGTTAAATATTGTAAAAATTACTTGAGAGACATGTGGAGCCTCTCTGAGTGGATCATAAAACCAAAAACTAGGAAAGACTGGGGCAGTGATTCAATCTACCACCCCAAGCCATGGCTTTGTGATGACTATCAACATCTTGGTGTTCAGTATATGCCCTTATCAGTTCTATGATATTTAGAGCCTAAAGAAAGTCCAGGATCTTGCAATCTGATCCTGAAAATTCGTAAATGAGGAGCTAGAGCCCCAAGAAGCAGCATGGTTTGCTCAGTGTTGTACAGCTAGAAGAAGTGCAACTAATAATAAAAGTAGAGGACTGTACGCTTTCAGCAAAACATCGTTCCTACATGACCTCACTCTGGCTTCAGAACTGCTCAGGATGGACATTAAATAGCTTACCAGAGTTTCTCGGATACTCATTTTTCAAACCAATCTCTGAAGGTAGGCTACAGATGTTCTTCAAAAAACAAACAAAACCAAACAAAAACTAGTTACAGGTTTCTCCCCCCAATCCAAAAATGGAGATTTAAATGTTCAGGGAACTCATGTGTTGCTTTTATCTGTTTTATGATAATGTTGGGGTTTTGTTAAAAATTCCCTTTGAAACACAGGGTCTGCTACTGAAAATTCTATGAAAATTATTGATCTAGAAGAAAACAAGTATGTGAAGGGAGCAAGGATAAGATTGTAGGCAGTTGGGTTTGTGCGTACATATAGAGGGGTGGCGTGTATTCAGATGGGAGCAGGGGGAAAATCAATGCATTCATCAGATATTTTTCAAGTCCCTAACATGTAAATGTGTCAACAATGGAAGTGGATTTTACAATTCCCCAAGTACACCAGAAAGTATTTTCCATGCCACTGTCTGTTACTACAGCTCTCTCTGGAGTCAAGAACTCCTGCCCTTGTCTACGAAGTCATCTGCAGAACACGTTCGGCTCTATTCTATGAGGACAGATGGACTTAGCCCTCAGATAGGAGCTATGAACACGGGCTACTCTCTATGTTCCTAAGGATGTTGCCATTGAAGTGCTCTCATGAGGAAACATATCAGAGAGTCCTTTTATTTTATTTTATTTTATTTTATTTTTTTGATAAGGGCTTTCTATCTTAGAAAGAGAAGAGAGTATGCTGTGGATAATTCCAGTCAATGGGGCTCAAACATTTTTTATGTAAGAAAAGCTTAAGATAGTGTTTTATAAACAGCCTTTTCCCATGACGTACAGTAAAAAAATATACTTTACATTATACTGTAATATGCACACATGTACACAAAAGACAAAACAGAACCAAACATATTACACAATACTCACTACAGGCAATACACTCATTCCATTCTATTCCATTCTATACTTTTTAATTTTTAAACATCTGGAAAGTACCCACTAAATTGACATTAGCATCCACTAATATATCTTGTAGTTTTAAAACATTTACTAAGCGGCAACAATCTGAAAGCTGGCAGCTGGAGGACTAATCTTAAAACTGGTTTTGCACTGTGTGTGACAGTAGATTGAGGCTATGTCACTGTCCATATCAGTGAAAGGAACAGGTAGAGGTTATGGGGGAGTTTTCACCTCCACTGACTCCATGTCGCTCTCCGGCATGGCCACTGATGCTGATGACATATTGGAGCCTATTGATTTGCCACACATCGACTCCCCAAAGTGTTCCCAGAACAGAGTAACCAGGTTGGGAGAGGGCGTCACATCTGGTCTTCTGAGGAGCTAGGTATTTAGGGGAAGAGGTGGCTTGGGGCAATTGAGCATGGTTTGAGCACGGACTTCCAAGGACAGGGTCAGGGGAAAGTGTGGAGACTCTAGGGAGAGGGACTGGTGCCCTGTGAAGGCGGGCCCTTTTTGCAAGCCACCACTGCCTTCAGGGGCTGAGTGCCCAGGGAGGGAGTCAGTGTCGGGAGAGCAGAAGCCATGAAGAGGTGCTTCCAGGCAGACTGTGCTGATTCTAAATGCATATTTCCTGCCTCTTTTGTGACAGTCATTTATCTACTGATTGTTAATATTAGCTGATTGTACACAGAAGTCATTAGGTGTCAAGAGCTGTTCTAAGTGCTTTATATATAAAAACTCATGCAAGCCACACAAGAACCCAGGAGGTAGGATTTATTATTAACATCCTGCTTTACAATTGAGGAAATGGAAGCCTGGAGAGATTAATTGCCCAAGATTGCCAATTCAGGTTTGACCTCATGTGTCAGGCTCAAGAGCTCCCCACTCACCACAGATCTGTGTGGATTTTTGCAGGGCAGCCACGTGCCCAGCATGCTGGCTGACACAAGTCAGGGACTGAGTGGACTCGCCGTTTCCCGTGATTGTTCTCTTACAGCACAAACTATGAAGCAGGGATTGACAAGACATAAGGCTGCAGAGACAGAGGACATGCATGATGCCCTGGGCCATCTACATCCTGCCTGAAACCTTGTACTCTAGTCTATAGGTTGAGGTTTTCTAAAACACTGGTTCTGAAGGACAGGATCAAATATGTTTTTTAAAATATTAGGGTTAAAAAATTAAATAGGTTCCTGCTATGCAGGTTCAGACAACCCTTGAGGCTGGGGTGAGGCATAGCCTACAACATTCCCTTCGGGTATTCTAGGCTCTGGGCAGCACTGATGAGAGAACAACTCTTCCAGGCATCAGAAATTATCTTGAGGTCTGACGTGGGGGCAGCGATATGAGGGGCTTGCATTTTAGAAAGATCATTCTGGTTTCAGAGTAGAAAATGGATAGGGTGGGAGGCTGGATGGAGATGGAGGGATGTTGCTCGGAAGACCCATTAGGAGGCACATCCACCAATTCTGGGTGAAAAATGCTTAGGTAAATAGAAGATAATCTGTATATGCTACAATGATGTATGAGGAGCATTTGTGGATGGGAAGGATTGCAACTTTTGTTAATTTTCAAATGTAATTGTACGTGTTGTGGAAAGGAAACAGCTCAATTAGCGCATCCTAAGGTGAAGATAATTACATTTTGGAGCTTTCATTTTCCTAGAAACAGAGCACATGGATTATAGCTTCTTTCCCCGATATGAACATTGTCAGAAAGTAAAAACAAAAAAGCTATTCCTTGTGGTTGACTTACAGGCATTCTCTCTGATCCTTCTTCAGTTTGATAAAAAACTAAGAACCAGACCCCTTGACTGCGTTCTTTAGAAATAGAGGAAAGATTGTATCCCTTGACGATGTCTGTCAGTTTGAAAGAGCTATGAATCACAGCAAAATGGCATTTTATATTTAGTTATTCATTTCCCATTCAGATCCAGGTGACAAATCTTGTGCAAAACAGCTCCCTATGACTCACATCAGCTTTTAAAGATGTTGGTAACGAAGTCTGACGAATCATTATTGACCCAGCTTTGAGGGTATACACAGTATATCTCAGCTATTAATAAGACATGCAATCTTCATCTGGTTCAGAACATAATTATTATTATTTTCTCCCTTGTCATGACTCTCATGACAAGAGGGAAGATGTATTCCTGACTTAACAGGGCCTCTGTGAGCCATGTCAAAAGAAATGCTTCCAGATTTTACCACATCTAGAAGTCTTGGAATGGATTCTAGATATAAGACAAAAATGAGGAACACATAAAAATGGACATGTTACAATAATGATAATTTTATTAATAGATCAATAATTTATTAATATCAAAATTTATATAAAAAGTGCAAAAGGTGGAAGTGATGCTAAACATACAGGTGGTTCAGAATCACCCCATTGTTGTTTCTGGTGGCTCAAGCCTGGGATTTTTACTACCAGCCCCTCTGATTGGTTGTGCCAAATCTGACTTTGTTATTTAATTAGTTAACTCATTTTTTGAATGGATAGTTATTCAGAAAACATATTAGGTGCTGGAATATGAAGCTGGATGAGGTCTTGTTTCCAGCTGAGAAGGTGCTCACAGCCCCAGGAAGAAGTCCGTGATACTCACAATTCACCTTGATTCTGCATAGATTTAGGTAGGCCTGTGCGACCACAGAGAAGAGACTGGGCAATTTTGTGTGTGTGTAGATTCCCCTCAGATTTCAGAGAGGAACAGATATTTGATTTGCACTACAGCACAGTAATAAAATCACAGAATTGGGAGTTAGTGGCTTGGACTTGAGTCTTAGGTTAGAAACTTTGGACATGGTGTTTACCTTTCTAGCTCTCACTTTTTTCTTTTGTAAAATGGGATTCATCATCTTTGAGGTAAAGGGAGGCTTAAATGAGCCTATGCATGTGAACAGGCTCACAACAACACATGAAAAGCATTTAGAAGTGTGTTTGGAGAGTCATACTGAAGATCTGCTTTCTGAATGAGTAAATGAATACTCACTCTGGGTCAGGCATTTGGCAGTCTTAGAAACCCCCTGCCAAGCGTGAGCTGGAGGAGTTGGATGGACTTGAATCTAGACCATTTGAGGTCCTCCACACTGGCAGCAACCGCTGTCTCTCTGGTGTCCATATGCATATGTATCTTGGTGCAGTATGAGAGATGGCTTCTTCAGTTATTTTCTCTTCTGTCCTTGCCTGCTCCCTGCCTCACCTTGTTTGTGCCATCATCAATCTCATCCTTACATGCATTCAGTGGCAAATAAAAGACAACTCAAGTAATGAGAGTTTCACCACCAATGGATTGTTTTTATCTCATGTTAAACTGTTGTGTTGGAAATCATTAGAAACCAGTGCCTACCATGCCATCTCCATGTTTGATGTTGTGACTCATCCTCATAGTCACATGAAGGCTGCTGCATCTCCAGGCTTGCTGTCTACATTCTAAGCAAGAACAAGAGAGAAAGGCGCAGGAGCTAGCTGGGTCTCTCTTAAAGAGAGAAGTCCGTGCTAGCTGGGTCTCTCTTAAAGAGTTCTACCCAGGGACTTCTGATATTCCACAGGGCAGACTGAGC